GTGTCTGAAATTGTCACCTAATAGTGTCAAACCATAGGATAAAGACCCTTAGGTTCTAATCGCTTTAATCCGTTAAACTACGGCCCGAGCACCTCTGCTTCATAACCGTGTTTCAAAACTATTCTACGGAAAGGGTTCAGGGCTGGTGGACCCTAGCTGTGAGACCAGTGTCAGAAACCCCTCAAAAGTCTGAGTAGTTTCTTGGACCCGACCATGGCAGAGGAGTGCCTGTCCCAGGCCTTCAGCATCTTGACTGCTCAGGTGATACCCTCTCCCAACACTCCAGGGCCCCTCCACAAAGTTCCTTCAGAAGGCCCAGCCTTTCCCAATTCCCTGCTCGTCTCTCTCCAGGCCCCGCTGTACAGACCCCCTCCCCCAAAGCCCGCAAAGAATGAGTCACAGTCATCTTCCTGGGGAATAGTGAGGATGTTTTTGTTTGGTTGGTTTTGGTTGGGATGTTTTTTAAAGAGCGTCATATAGATATTTATATATATAAATTATTAATGTGGGGCAAGGGCAAGAGGCGTACATCGCAGAGGGGTCGCGCACACAGGGACTGGGGAGGAGCAGGGGCGGCACACAATGCTACGCAAAAACAGCCACATCTAACAGATGAAATAATCACACCGAGGGGGTTGGGAAGGGGTGGTGGCCACGGGAGGGGGAGGGTTGGGCATGGGAGAGGAAGAAAGCAGGGGTACAAGGAAGAGGGACCTGGTCCAAGAACTGTGCGCTTTCTGCCCCTATCCCCCGCCAACCTCCCCACCTCCGCACACCACAGGAGCCTTGGCCTTCCATCTGTCCCTTCCTCCCTCCCTCTGCCCAGCTGCTTAGGCCCTGCAGCTGAGCAGCACTGGTCCTTGCTCTAGGTGGCAGGTTGGGAGGGAAGACTCCAAGGTCCAGATGCAGGGGCCATGGGTGCTCTCTTGATTGCAGGTTCTACAGCGGCTTGTCACTTTCCTTCTTCAGGTGACTAGAGAGAGATGGGGTGCAGATCAGAGATGAGAGACTGAGGTTCACCCTGACCTGGCCTCTCTCACAGAGGATGGTGAAGGAGGGGCTCCATCCCCAGGATCCTGGCTCCCGCACTGCTGTACCATGCCCACATCCCACCCAAGATGGTGGAGCTCACAGCCCCGCAGTCCTAGCCTAGAGGCGCTGGGTAGTACCTGTAGTAGTCCTCCTGGGCAGGTAGCGGCACACTGTGCAGCGGGTGATGGGCATGTAGCCACTGCTGCTGCTCTAGCGCCAAGCGCTGCAGCTCAGCAGACTGCGCGTGCATGGCCTGCAGCTGGTGAGCTGCTGACATCGGGGCAGAGAGGGAAGCTGGAAGGTCCCGGTAAGGAGCAGCTGTGGGCAGGAAGGGCAGGGAGGACATGACTGATGGGGTACTGAGTATCTACTTTGGGCCATGAGATAGCCAGCCACTTTACATACAGAGGAAACAGACTAAAAAAGTTAGGTAACTTGCAATTTATCAGTGGTGAAGTTAGGATTCAAAACTCTTAGCCTGTCACTGAAACCTGTGCCTCTCTTGGGTAGGGCGCCTCAGCCCTCCAATTCCCATTCCCAGCTCCTCTGGGTACCTCCTCATCCCCTCACCCCCTCCCACCACCCAAATTCCTCCTTCCTGCCCTTCTCACATTAGACCTTCCCCAACCCCAACCTCTATCCTTACCAAAGAGCTGGTGACGAAGAACTTCGTTCTCGTGCAGAGGGTGAGGAAGAAGGGGGTTGGGGAGGGTCCCAGCTGGGTAGGGAATCCGGGTAAGGTGAGACCCTGAGGCCAGGGGGTCAATGAGAGGGTGCACCGAGGCAGAGGCTGGAGGATAGAGAAGAGGAAGGTGTCACCATAAGGCAGGTTTGGGGGAAACCATGCATTTGGGTGAAGGGATCCAAGTCTGGGAAGAGAGATGGAAAATCAAACAGAGAGATCCAGAGTGGAACAAGGAGGCACAATGGAAGAACTAGGAGATGGGGGATGGAAAGCATAAGACCCTACTGGAGCAAGACATATGGATGGAAAAAAACAGATTATAATTCTCAGAGGAATCTGAGGAGGAGGATAGAGAAAAGTGAACTGCTTACAGCAGATGGAAAAGGATAGAAAGTTTAGGAAATGAGACAGGAAGAGAGTGAAGGTTAAGAGAAAGAAAGCACAAGGGAGGCGGGAATGAACGTAACTGTAAGGCTAGACTGGACAATGAGAAATTTGGTAAAGGATAGTAAGTAAAGCTCATTATCACCTATGGTGCCCACAACCAAACATACAGGCTCTTTCTGAAAAGGCACAGATGTAGACATGGGGAAAAACATGAAAGACTTCCAGCTGGGAGGAGAGATGACAGAGCTGAATCCAGAAGAGCAAGAACACAGGTATGTGACGGGCTGGCGGAAAGGAGCTGTAAAAGTAGAAAGGTGGTGCTTCTTCAAAGGTTTCCAGCTTGGGCCTCTATCATGGGTGCATGTTAGAACTCTGAAGCAGGTGGGGATGTGGAGAACAGTCTCTGTGCAAGGCTAGGGCATGATGAAATAGGCTGGGGAATGACAGGGAGGCAAAGATCAGGGCAGCATTCAGGAGAGAGGATCATGACAGACTAGAGAAGTCCTGGCTTGAGAAGAGCCCAATCACTTGCTGTGGGGTAAGGTGGCGTCAAGGGATCAAGGAAGGAAGTAGCAGTCTCACCTGCATGGATGGCATCCTGCTGGTGGAGGTGCAGGTGAGAGTGGATGTGGGAGTGCTGGTGGTGATGAGGGGTCACATTGAGCATCTGCAGCCGGGCCAGCGGGTCATTGCCCAGGGCTGCCACCCTTTCTGCATGCTGCCTCTCAGCTGCCAGACGTTCTGCGTAGGACATGTCAGGCCGCAGGGCTGGCCCAGCGGCCAGCGCCAGACGTTCTCTCTCCAGAGGCCCCAGGCTCGGATGAAAAGGGAAAGGATGCAGGCCAGGTGGGCCAGGCTGCAGAGCCAGGCCCCCATGTCGGGGAAAAGGATCCAGGCCTGGCCCAGGAACACCATGTAGGGGTTCCAGCTCACTGGGCTTCACCTCAAAGCCAGGTTTGAGGCGGTCACGAAGGTCTCGTTCACGGGCTTCCCGCTCCCTCTCCCGGGCTGCTGGGTCACTGCTGTACAGGGCTGGGACGTTGTAACCCAGGAGTCCTGGGTCCACTGCCCCCAGGGGCACATAGAATGGATGGTTGCGATTGCCAGGAGACATGACATGGGGCCGGGCATATTCACTGAGAGTGCGCAGGGCTGGAGTGTCAGGACCCAGGTAGGGAGGCACTGTAGCCACAGCACTTCCTGGCTCAAACGGAGGGCGATGGGGTACTGGGCCGAGAGATGGGCACTCCACCGGAGCACGGCCCTCCTGAGCCAACTTCTGTGGGATACAGGGAGAAGAGAGGAGTCAGAAGAGCAGCTCTGGAAAGAGGTGGCCAATCTCAAACTGCTCATTCTTCTCAACAGCCGAATGCCAACGTGCTTCATCTTATCCTGGAACTCAGCCTATAAGGAACTTCCCCTACCCCCTTCTCCTGAATAGTGGCTCTCCCAACGATCCATAGGTAGCCTGAGTTCACATCCCCTCTGACCTGAGCTGGCTTTCTCCCAACCCACACAAGCAATGATTCTTCTCAAGCAGGAATCATTAGGTCTCCTTTCCCAGAGCTGCAGTGCTTCCTCCTCTCCGCCAGGTGGAGCAATGACTCCCCGCCCCTCGAGCCTCCCTCTGGCGGGCGGCGCACATGGTGACGCACTCACCACGCTCCGTTCCAGCTCGCGTTCCTTCTCGCGCTCGCGCTCCTTCTCGCGTTCCCGCTCGCGCTCGCGCTCCTTTTCTTCGCGTGCGCGTTGCTCTGCCTCGCGCCGCACCTTTTCTACCAGGTCGGCCCGCTTTTTGGCCAGCTTGGAGCCCTCCAGTGGCACGAAGTACAGGTCGCTGCGCGCGCACGAGTTAAAACCTCGGTCCAGGTGTTTGTTGAACCTGCCAGGCGCGGAGGCAGTGCGCGCTTAGCCTCTGCTAGCTGCTCAAGCGGGCCTGCGGTGACTCCCGCCCAAAGCCAGCCCCTGCAGACTAGGAAAGGGTTAGGCAAGGGTCTGCAGTATTTTAAAAAGCACCGAACGAATGCAAGTGACCCCTGCCCCGTGCCAACTCCCTCTCTCCATCACTCCTTCGCTGATCCCCACCCCAGGCCAGCCTGCACCCCACTCACCTGGCTGACTGACTGGCGTGGCTGGGTACATCTACCACCTTGGGAGGGGGCGAGGGGCTGCGGGCCGGGGGCACTGGGCTCTCGGGGGTCTCATACTCCTCAGCCGGCTCCTGTTTGATCTGTGTGGCACTCAGGGGTGGCCCTGAAGCAGGGGCCGCAGGCGGTGGTGGCAGGGATGACAAGCCTGAAGGCCCTGCAGATGGCAGTGGCACAGGCCCCACGGTGGGCGAGCCTGGCTTGAAGGTCCCTGGGCCTGCGGGCGGCGAGGCGCCTCGGTAGCCTGGTGGGGTCCCCGTACGGAAGGAGGGTGGCGACCCTGGCTTGTATCCGGGTGGGGTGGCTGTCTTGTAGGCCCCTGGGGATGGGGCTCTCTTTCCATAAGGTGGGGGCCCAGGCGGGGAAGCTGTTTTGTAGCCTGCCGGCGAGG